TTAGAGGAGGGTTAAAATGGCAATGACCACCAATAATGGGGGGAAGTAGGGACCATCAGTAATTGTGCAATAGTTTTTATTGGAGTTAGGGGTGGGGTTAAAGTTCCACTGACCACCAATGATTGTGGGATTGTTTTGGGGGATTTAAACATTTTGGGTTTATCCATGACATCTTGCCATTGCTTACAATGACGTTTTCAGTGCTATACAATGAAGACTAATGCAATGTAAGGAAAAACTTTCAATTAGCTTCAGGGGTGAACTTTAGGAGCTAAGTGCACCTTGGGGTTTCTATTTTGCAAAAAAGGGGTCATTTTCAAGAATGTTCATACTGTCTTGGTATTTTTATTCAATATGTTTTATACCAGAAAGCAAAATAAATAGTTTTTAAATGTAAACTCTTTTTTATAGTAAAAAATACTCTATCACCAGTTCTTCCTGTCTAAAAAAAATATATTAAATTCATTTGGATAGAGTGATGCATGTCCAAGTATTTTTTAGTCAAACAATCACAGCACTGAACATGAAAAAATGACTAGGATAGGATAGGAAGGGGGTTTAGCATCTTTGTACTGAGGTGGTTAAAGTGAACCTGTACCCAGACTTTGCACATGAAAGTATTTATATATTCTCAGCAAGCACCAAAACTAATGTAAAATAACTCAACTCTTCATAATTAATCTCAGCAATTTTTATGAAGAGCTGAAATTGACAGGCTGCCAGCTCAGGAGTGCATGGTTGCCCCCTCAGCATATGGCTTGCACACCCGCATGAAGAAGCAGCCAAGAGTGCTGGCGGGGGACTTCCATATCAGAGGCAAGGGCTGCTCTATGCAATATTGTTCCACAGAGCATAACCTCATTTTTAATTTTAAATGAAAATACGTTTCCTTTAACATCACTTCAAAGTGTATCTAAACTCAAAAAACTAAAATGTAACATATTGCAGTTTACCAGTCTTTAGATGTGGCTGCATTAGTTTTTTATTGATTAAGATAAAAAAATATCTACTACAATATCATGTAGTGTAGAGATGGGCCATAGCACACACTTGTCTTAGATTGTAAGCTCCAAGGAGCAGGGCCCTCCTCAACCCTCTTGTATTGAACTGTATCATTGCTGTATTGTCTCCCTTTATATTGTGAAGCACTGAGAAAACTGATGGTGCTATATAAGTCCTGTATAATAATAATATTAATATTGACTCGTATGCTATCCATTGCAAAAAGTATAAAGAATATGCAGCAGGCAGTAGATGCACTCAACGTCTTGAGAAAGGCAGGCTGTGCCCCACTGAAATGTTGACATTGATTAAACTGTGTTGGAAAATTCCTCCTGTTGTAAGTCCCATTGAGTGCATCTATTGCCTGTTGCATATACTCGACAAATCCCAGGCGCCAGGTTGCCAAGGCGACTAGAAACTGCGGCCTGGATTTTGTCAGCCCCAGTGGTGTAGCATGGGGAAGGGGCAACCTTTAGAGAGAGTCACAGAATGGGTGTCCCAGAACAGATGCCAGTCCTGTTATTGCCGGGCGGCCAGCAGGTGTCACTGTGCCAGGTGTGTGTAGGAGGCTGGGGGGGGTGGGGAGGGCAGCGCTGTGAGGGCGGGTTAAAGGAGAAGAGGGGTGGGACTGTGAAGGGCAAGTTAGGGGAGATGTGGGGCTGTAGGGTAGTAGGAGGGGCTGGTAAAGGGAGGAGTGGAGCCCCTGACAGGAAGTGTGCCCTGTGCGGCTCTTGAGCCTCCCTCTCCAGGCTCCTCCTACAGGATCACTGGGTGCGGGTCCAAGCAGAGCTGTGCGGGGAGACTCTCAACCTCACTTCAGATCAGGAACTGGTGATGCTGAATGGGCTCAGCAATGGCCCTGACCCTGACACCTACTCGCAGGGGACCCTCTGGGCGCTCCTGTTCACCTCCAAACAGGCTCCAACTGTGACTCCAAGTCAGGACAGGGCAGCCCAGAAGCCTGCTACACCCTGAGCTGGACAGCTGGTGTGGCCACCTATCAGTGTTCTTCAGTTCAGCCCATCAGTGCTGCCTATCAGTGCCCATAGGTGCCGCCTATCAAGCCCATCAGCGCTGCCTATCAGTGACCACCAGTGCAGCATATCAGTGACCATTAGTGTCATTTATCAGTGACCATCAGTGCAGCATATCAATGTCCATCAGTGCAGCATATCAGTGTCCATCAGTGCAGCATATCAATGTCCATCAGTGCAGCATATCAGTCTCCATCAGTGCAGCATATCAGTGTCCCCATTAGTGCAGCATATCAGTGTCCATCAGTGCAGCATATCAGTGTCCATCAGTGCAGCATATCAATGTCCATCAGTGCAGCATATCAGTCTCCATCAGTGCAGCATATCAGTGTCCATTAGTGCAGCATATCAGTGTCCATCAGTGCAGTCTCATCAGTGCAGCCTACCAGTGCAGAAAAATTACTTATTTATAAAATAAAAAACCCAGTGGTGATCAAATACAACCAAAAGGAAGCTCTATGTGTGTGAGAAAAATTTATAAAAATGTCACATGGATACAGTGCTGCATGAGCATGCAATTGTCACTAAAAGTGGACAGTGCTGAAAGCTGAAAATTGGCCTGGGCAAGAATGGTGGTATAAGTAACCAGTAAGCAAGGGGCTAAAAAACCTGGCTCACAGCTTTTTTAGCTGGCTCATAGATTCAAAGCAAAATTGTCCAGCCCCGTCATAATATACATTGCAGATAATCTTGCATACGCTGGTTTTTATCCAAAGCCCTTCTTGGAACAAAGTGAACTTTTTCATGGATGATAATGTAAATCCAGTAATAAAAAAACATTATAAAAATGCAAATATATCAAATAGTTACAAACATGTAGGCAGGTGCAGTCTATTTTCTTCACTGCAAGTGCCGCTCAACCGCAGCGGCAATGCAGAGAGAAAGGAAGTCAGGAGAGGAAGTCATATTCCTTTATGGTTTCCTGGGTCATTGGGAAGCGATCCAGTTGGATGCTGCAACCCCATGTGACACTGGCAGCCATCTTGGGTCATGCAGAATCTATTTAAAACCCTTGCTCCTTTGCTTGGTGCTCATTTCTGTGAGTGGAAAGGGCAGGGACAGTGTTTTCTCTGCCGCTGCACCACACTGCACCCACACACAAACATACACTCTGCTGTTTGTACTCTACAATGCTCAATATATATTATCATCACAATCTTTCCTGTGTCCAAACATGCACATACATTTTACATAATAAAATGACAATACATTGCCCCTGTCTTGGACATCTGTTTGAAAGTAGCACTGCTTTTGAAGCTTATACCATGGCAGCTTCCAGCTCCATCTGGGTAGCAGATTCCGTGACAGGTTGTCCTTAGGGTCTATTCACACCATTGCATCACGGTGTAGTGACCAGCATTACACACATTGGTGCAATGCAGTGCCATTTATTCTGAATAGCACACTTTGCTAACAGACATGCATTGCAGCGCCCTACTGTGCTTTGATGTGCATTGCATTACAAAAATACTACATGGACATTTTTATGGTGTGTTAGGCAGCCTGTTTAAATATTTCCCCAGCACCCCATCAGGAAGGAGATATGTATACTTATTATTGAGCCAAGCTGGACCAATGTAAGTATATAATACAGATAATTCTAGCTTTAAAACCCTACCTAGCTTTCCCCTTTCATGTAATGTTTAAGTGGAGCGCCACCCAAAATGGGGGAGCAGGTGTCCGATTTTGACAGGTACTCGCTCCCACTTCCACTGCAATCGCCTAGGAGATTGGAAGCTGAAGTTGTCCTCCCCTCTCCCCCCCATATTTTCTGGTACCAGGTGACAGATCCCAGAAGACTACAGGACCATTCACAAGGTGCAGCTCTACCCGCGCATGCGCAGTGGGGGCACCCAGCTGTGAAGCCACAAGCTGTCATAGCCGGGTGCCCACACTTAAGATGCCAGCGCCAGGGAGAGAGGATGGCTGGTGAAACCGTCTGTGTTGAGGACACCTCTGGATCAAGGGACAAGTAAGTGACTGTTTTTTAAGTCAGGAGCTACAGTTTTTGTAGCTGCTGACTTTTATTCTTTAACATTATGACTGGAGTTCCGCTTTAAGTAGGTGGTTGGGGAGTTATTATTATATCATAATTGACCCTGTCTGAACTGTGCTTGTAAATCTCATTATCAGTTGTAATTTAGATGTGTACACTGTCTGTCCTAACAAAGGGTTAAAGATGTCAAGGCTTTGCTTGTGCATTGCATGTATATGCCCTTTAAAAATCTGTCCCTTAATTGCAAGCAAGTTATTCTGAACAATACAAGCTGCCTATAGAGTCCTATGTATAAATCTGTTTCAAACAAACAACTAGAAAGGCAGGAAATGCATTTTGTAATCATTTTTAGGTATAAATGGCTGGGAACACATAACAAACCTAAGGGGGGGGGGGTATTAAAACCAGGTCTATGAAGATAGAGCAGGTTGAAATTTGATGAGGTTACTACTCGGCTTCTCCACACTCCCACTGCTCCAAATGCAAAATGCAGACACAAGTAGGCAAATATTCTCGTGGAATATTTATAAGCGAGTGCTTTGTTTTTTCCACAGTTGTACTGTAAAGGCCAAGCTTCTCGAAAAAAACAACCAATAGCCAAATAATCAAAAATAGAAAATCTCACAAATTTTAAATTGTAAAACATTAGCTCAGCTTTTCTCAACTCTTTTACCACAGAGAAATCCTTGAAATAATTTTGAAGTCTCAGGTAACCCCTTCTAACACAAATTATTAAATCTACAGGTCACAGTACAATTGCAATATCAGTAAGTTTTAAATAGAAGAATAACAAAATGGTGTAAGAGTATGCCGATTTTTTTTTTACAACACTCCATTGCTCCACACAGTAATAATAATCAAATAAAACAACCAGTAAAGAAATGCAAACTGTGAAGAGTTTGACATCCCCTAATACTACTTGTCAGTGGAAAAGTGGCTAAATGGTTAGCACTTCCTCCTGGCAGTAGTAGGGTCATTGGTTTGAATCCCAACCAAAGCACCACCTGCCTGGAGTTTGCATGTTCTCCCTGTGCCTGTGTGGATTTCCTCCGGTTTCCTCCTATCAGGGGCGGACTGACAACTCATGGGGGCCCCAGGCAATAGGGGATCATGGGGCCCCTGTGTCCTTGAACACACAAAAAAAAAATGTATGAAAAGGTATCAAGGGCATCTCATGGGGTTACCTACTGACCCCGGGCCCTCGGGCAGCGCCCAAGTTCCCAAATGGTCAGTCTGCCCCTGCCTCCTACACTCTAAAGACATGCTGGTAGGCTAATTGGATCCTGACTAAATTGGCCCTAGTATGTATGAATGTAAGTTAGGGACTTTAGATTGTACGCCCCTTGAAGGTTAGGGACTGATGAGAACGTACAATATGTATGTGTAAAGCGCTGCGTAAATTGATGGCACTATATAAGTACCTGTAATAATAAATAAGTTTCCCCTTAGTTTAGTATTCAATGGAAAAATGCCCCTTTGCGCTGCTGGTCATTGTAGACGAGACCCCTTATGTTGGATACCAGGTCAGTAGTGTGAACTATCTAACTAACGATTTCTTAAAATAGATAACAGCAAGAACTAAAAATATACAGATTTGCAGCACAGCTTTTTTTTTTATCCTTTTTGGACAGGTTTATAGTTTTGAGGTAGAGAGCAGGCAGATTAATTCTGGAAATTAAAAAAAAAAGTTCTATTTTTTTTGTCAAATTTAAAAGCTGAATAACAAGATTTTTTTTGGATGAAATCAATCATTTTCAGTTGCTGGTGCTGTATGTTAGCCAAATAAAAAATGTAAAAGGAAACCAAATTGTTACATGTGCATTCTGGACTGGACCGGTTGTGTTCAGTGGGTGGCGGGATTTTGTTGTTTTTTTCATGCGGGTCGGCATTCATTGTGATTGATTCTGGACTTACATCGGGGGACATGTTTTTATTTATTTATTTTGAGTAAAGAACATGTCAAAAACTGTCTTTGTGTTTTTATTTACTTTTCACATTTTCTTTGCTGAATGAGTAGGGGTAATATGTACTGCATATTCATTCACATGGGGGGGGGGGGGGGGTGGGATCTGGAGGCCCCCTTCTTTAAGGGGGCTTCCAGATCCCGATATGTCATCCCCTCCCGGGCCAGGGATATGGGGAAGAGGCCATTGTCCTCTTCAACATGGGACCAAGGTGCTTCGGGGGGAGGGGGACCAAAACACCCCCCCATGTGGCCTTGTATGGTTCAGGAGGAGCGGCACTTGCTCTCCCCCCCCCTTCCCAATTTCCTTACTTGCCGGGCTGCATGCTCAGATAAGGGCCTAGTATAGATTTTAAAAAATGTTGGTGTGGGGTTCCCCCTCAAGTTCCATTCCAAGCTCGAAGCTTTTTTTTTACATTTATTAATTTCAATGCTTATTTTGTTTATATTCTGTTAGCAGAGAATCCTGCTAACAGCAGATGAGTCATGGTTGTTAAGGACACGGCAGCTGTCCACTCCTTAACAAACAGCTATTCTTCCGAATATATGAACTGGATGCCAAATATACAACACAAATTCCATAAATTAATCTGTTCAACATAACGTCTTCTTAAATGAGTGAATGAAAACTAAACAAACATTTTTGATGTGTACATGTCCAGCCCCAATATGGTGTTGCTGATGCTGTCCCTCAGAGTCATCAGCTTTAAAAAGGTTCTAAAGTGTAGGTGTGTTTTCCCTCATGCATTACCTGCATGTAGCTAAAAAATACCCACTATCCCTCACCTCTCCATACTAAACACATAACTGTGTCTTTTCAATCAAGAAGGAATGTCTACTCAAAAAATAGCTTCTCTGCAGTTCACTGTTGTTGTTCCTGATACGGCATTACAGTCAAATCACAAGGACATACATTCCGGAGTCACTTGACATACACAGTCAATCACATATAGTGGATGGTCCACAGTAGTCAAAGCTGAAAGCACGTGCAGCACCCTAACAGCCATCTCCCTTCAGTCTCTCCTCTGCCCAGGATCAGCAGTACTTACAGGACTGTCCTCTAGATCAGTGTTTTTCAACCTTTTTTGTGCAAAGGCACACTTTTTTTCATTCACCATTAGAAAATGTTAAAAAAAATTTACCTCTGTGCCTATATTGACTTAGCTGCTTCAAGCATCTCCTCTACAAATAGCTTTGCAGGCGGGAAGTATTAATGTCTCTGCCACAGTGTGCAACTTTTTTGACTTGGCTATAAGTTCAGCAACTAGCTAGCAGCTCTTTCATTTACCTTTGTGTTTTTCTCATGAAAGTTGCCTGTTTCTCCCATGCAGGTGAACAAAAAAGTCTGCATTCTTGTTTTGAAGCGAAGGGTGTTTCGTTTGGAGATGCGTTTAAGTTTACTTGGGACCATAGCACTGTTAGATAGCTTTTCACCACACACAGTGGAGTTGGTTTCTTTGCATCTCCGTGAAAGTAAATCCAAATGAAATATAGCTTTCGCTATATTGCCTTGTGCCAGAGAATTTCCTTGAGCTAACCATCTTTGCTTTCTTTTGATCCCCACTCATACTTGGGCTCTTATCTGGCTCCGAATTTTGTTCAGAGTCCAGTTCTTTCCTTTTCAAAAATTTGTCCATCACTGCAGTATCTGTTCCTGTCTCACTGTCACTCAGTACTTACTGCGCTTGTCTCCTCCAGATAGCCGCTGTCCGTCACACTCCATCCAGATCCATCAGTCAGCGCTCTTTCTGCTCCTGTCTCCTCCAGATCCATCACTCAGCGCTCTTCTGTGCTGAGTCCGCGATAATCCTCCAGAGTCCAGATCCTTCGGTGCTCTTCTGCGCATCGGCGATCTACTGCGATGTCTTCTCCTGTCAGTGTAACAGTGACACCGGAGCTATTTATAGTCCGTAACATGCGCTTCGGCTCACAAATAGACCAATCATTAGATTCTAACGATTGGTCTATTTGTGAGCCGAGGCCACATGTTGCGGATGAAATTGGAATTTTTCCCACGGCACACCAGACAATATCTCACGGCACACTAGTGTGCCGCGGCACAGTGGTTGAAAAACGCTGCTCTAGATAGACACCCTAGCTGGGTATATGTTTCCCGGGAACCCTCCAGGGAAGCAGCCTAGCCCAGGGACCTCCAGCCTTGCCTAAAAGGCCTTTTGCACTTCACCCTAACCCCCACCTCCTTAAGTAACAAAATGACTACAGCCGGCTACACCTGCATATAGGTCCTCTCAACTCTGCCTCCTGCTCTGTCCATGACCTACATGGGTTGGCTAAATGCTCACAGGTGCGGAGTGTTTAGCACACAAGACTCTTTGTATACCCTCCCTACCTAGCTTATATATGGATTCTAACTCATCCCTGACATCACTTGAGTGAGGGCTTTACCTAAAAGGAGCCTAACACCTAGTGTCACTACCTGTTGTACTAGACACCATTCTGGTACAAAGACACCTAGTGGCAAAGTCACTAACTGCAGCTGTCTACACTCCCCCCCCCCCCATCTTTAACTATGGCACGCCCTCATACCATAAGGGGAAGCCTCACTCAAGAGATAGAAGGACAACCTTCAGCAGAGATATAGTAGTAAAGTGCAACATAAACAGTATAACAAAACTATCCAAATAACTCACGGCAAAAAAGTTAATATATCTGACACAGGCTTGAATGTACAAAAAATAAACTACTCTAGGCAGAAGTCTGAATGCCAGGCACTGACTTGATAAATAAAATAAAGGTACCAAATATAAACATGTAATGGGCAACAGCCTCAACTGCAGTACCATACAAAGGAACAATGTATGTACAGTAACCAATCAATAGAATGTATGTATGTAAACAATAATAGAAGACATAAGATGGCACACAACGGTTCATATGTAGTACTTAGGGTCTGAGTACTCCCTCGACTCCTCTGTAAACCAAACCTGCTGGACAACATTATTAATGTCTTTGGAGTTCGGATAAACTACTCCATTCCCGATAGATCCTGTGGAACTTTGTGCATGGGGTTGTCCCCTCTACCAGCACCTGCTGGCGCTTCAGTATCCTAAGATGGTCCCAAACAGCAGACTTGTACTACATCTGCTTTTGAGCCCCTAAGGCAGGGGTCTCCAACGTTTTAAACAAAGAGCCAATTTACTGTCCTTAAGACTTTAGAGTGGCCACACTGTGACCATGGAGAGTAGGAAATGTCCCAGCATCAGTTGAGGTAAACAATGCCCCATCCTTGGTATCATTGGGAGGAATTGTACCCTATCATTGGTGTCACTGGTAGGAATAGTGCCCCATCATTGGTGTCATTGATAGGAATAGTGTCCCATCATTGGTGTGATTGGGAGAAATAGTGCCCCATCGTTGATGTAATTGGGAAGAACTGTACCCCATCACTGGCTTCATTGGGAGGAATTGTGCCTCATCATTGGTGTCATTGGGCCCTATTGTTGGTGTCATTGGAGGAACTGTGCCTCATCATTGGTATCATTGGCAGGAATTGTGCCCCATCACTGGTGTCATTGGGCAAAATTGTGCCCCATCATTGGCGTCATTGGTAGAAATTGTGCCCCATCATTAGTGCCATTGGGAGGAACTGCACCCCATCGTTGGTGTCATTGGGAGTGACTGTGTCCCATTATTGGTGTAATTGGGAGGAACAGTGCCCCATTATCGGTGTTGGTGAATGAAATAATTCCAGCATCCATAGAGTTCCAGCACATGTCCAATCATCCAGTGTTGCAGTCTTGACAGCCACGTGAGCTGTCAATGGTGCCCCTGCCCTAGGAGCAAGTAAGAAGGTGGACATCAGGGGCACTGCTGGTCTCCTCCCCCTCCTCTTGTTCTGACTCCATGTAGGGAGGGTGCCAGGTCTCCGATGGATTGAAAACCTTGTGGTAGTGCCCCCTGTCAGGAGTCACAGTGGCGGGCACTGATGCTGGAAATTCAAGTGATGCAGTGAGAGTCCCCAAACTCCCCAGCTCCTCTGTTGTGGCAGTACCCTTATGGGCATTCTATAAAGCCCCAGGCTGTTCCTCAGGTGGTGTATGAGAACTATTGGCTGCACTATTGGAAACTCGGGCACTGCCCAAGGGCCCAGTGTCAGTAGGGGGCCCCATGAGATGCCCCTGGTACCTTTTTCATAGGCTTTTTTGAGTTTGGGCAAGGACACAGGGGCCCCATGATCCCCTATTGCCCAGGGGCCCCATGAGTTGTTAGTAAGCCCCTGTGCATAACCCTCCCCTGAAGGAACCTCAGATGCAGACTTTCAACAGAGCTAGACC